GGGTTTGTCCCTTTTTAACCCAGTGCTGGGTTATATTTAACCCAGCATTTTTTAGAGTGTATAGTTCAAATCATAATCAAGTAATTCATGTCCTTTGCACATCATGTCATCAACACCAAAATAAGTGTATTTCTTCACGATAAAATATTGTTAAAACATGATTTATAATGTACTTTGCATTAAAACTTTAAATTTGACATTTTTACAAAGTGTGTTAAACTGTGTTAAAAAGTGTGTGAAACTGAGTCATTATATTATGTGAAAGTAAACTTTTTTTTTAAGTATATACTTTTATGATTTGAAGTACACTACAAGTGAGCATTTAAACACACTTCTTTTTCACAAGCGTATCCTAAATATGATCAAACAAAGCTAAATATACTTTCATGGATGTAGTATTAACAGTGGTATTTATGGCTGGTAAATTTTAATTACATACTCACCAGTGACAGGTGTGGCAAACAGTTAATTTTAGACCCTGGTGGTACAGCTTATTTACTCAAAGCCATTTACAAAATGTTACTTCTCCTTGCATTTATCTTTGGCAAATGACTACAGTTACATAGTTCTTGTAGTTTCATAAATCAGGCTTGGTCCATAGTGAGAGTTTGACTCACATTGTGTCAGTGTATGTGAGAATTCTGTCACTGTGTGTTGAATTTTGTCACTAAAGCACGTTTAGCAGCTGACCTCTGACCCCAGTCAGGTGCAGGCAAAAGAGAGTGTGTTTCAGCATGACAGACCTTGGGTGGCGAAAACTGAGCCTGTTTCCCTGCTAAACAGCTGCATGAGTGTGTGTGTGTGTGTGTGAGAGAGAGAGAAAGAGAGAGAAGGAGAGGGAGAGAGAGGGGAGTGTTATATGAGACCTTTATTTTGGCTGAACATATTAGTGCAGTCATTAGACCTCAATATATGATAGTGTTTATGTTTATGAAAGAAAAATAAGAGGGAGGGGAGAAAAAAAGAAATGTAAGTTAAGTTCACTCCACCAGCACAGGCCTTCCAAGCACACTGGATTCCACATTAGAGACGCCATGAAAGATATCAGCACCACACGCTTTGTGAAAGCACTTTGAAGCTGGAAAAAGAGTCAGAACTGCAGTTGTACAATAAAATGACAATATTAACATATGCAATCAAGGATTTTAAAGCAATCCAAATTATTGTGGTTGTCAGGATTTCCTGTAATAGACCCCTAGAGGTTTGTGGTAGGCATGCAGGTTTGTGAGACTGTGAAAGTACCAACCCTTGTAACGCTTTATCATACTTTTTCTTAAAAGTATGCAAATAATATCCTTTGAAAGAATTTACTGAATGTAATGTTTTAAGACACTTGACGGCATGTTATTTATAATTACCTGAAAATGTATTATTTATATTGGAATTTTGTAAAGCACGTTTAGCAGCTGACCTCTGACCCCAGTCAGGTGCAGGCAAAAGAGAGTGTGTTTCAGCATGACAGACCTTGGGTGGCGAAAACTGAGCCCGATTCCCTGCTAAACAGCTGCATGAGTGTGTGTGTGTGTGTGTGTGAGAGAGAGAGAAAGAGAGAGAAGGAGAGGGAGAGAGAGGGGAGTGTTATATGAGACCTTTATTTTGGCTGAACATATTAGTGCAGTCATTAGACCTCAATATATGATAGTGTTTATGTTTATGAAAGAAAAATAAGAGGTAAGGGAGAAAAAAAGAAATGTAAGTTAGGTTCACTCCACCAGCACAGGCCTTCCAAGCACACTGGATTCCACATTAGAGACGCCATGAAAGATATCAGCACCACACGCTTTGTGAAAGCACTTTGAAGCTGGAAAAAGAGTCAGAACTGCAGTTGTACAATAAAATGACAATATTAACATATGCAATCAAGGATTTTAAAGCAATCCAAATTATTGTGGTTGTCAGGATTTCCTGTAATAGACCCCTAGAGGTTTGTGGTAGGCATGCAGGTTTGTGAGACTGTGAAAGTACCAACCCTTGTAACGCTTTATCATACTTTTTCTTAAAAGTATGCAAATAATATCCTTTGAAAGAATTTACTGAATGTAATGTTTTAAGACACTTGACGGCATGTTATTTATAATTACCTGAAAATGTATTATTTATATTAAAAGCAATTAGTTGAACTTAAAATAGCTTTTTCGACCCACTCAAGTAGGACTTAAAGGGGTCATATGATGCGATTTAAATTTTTCCTTTCTCTTTGGAGTGTTAGCTCCGGCCGGGACACGGCATCAACAGTATATGAGGGGCATAACATTTCCATCTCACGCTTGAGGTATTCGGCCAATCACAACGCATTAGATAGCTGGCCAATCAGAGCACACCTCGCTTTTTCAGACCGATGAGCTTTGTAAAAATCGACGCGTTTCAAAAAGGCGGGGCATAGAGGAGAAACAATAATGTACAGTATGTGGAAAATAATGTGTTTTTTTAACTTTAAACCGCATAAACACATTTCATTACACCAAATACACAAAATACTGTTCTTTTTAGCAGCATCATATGACCCCTTTAAGTACATCTGCATATCTAATTTCATAATTACTTCTATTGTCTTTAAAATATGGTTAAAGTGTACTGCAGAATGTACTGACAAGCATTTATGGTCAACTAAAATATATTTTAATATCATTTCTATTGAGACTTGTATGCCATGGTTTTAATACATATTTGTAATGACATTTAAAAATATTTTAACTTTAAATGTAATATTAATAATACACTACAGTTAAAAGTAATTTTTTTTTACATGCCAAAATAAATGTAGGCCTACATCAAAATAAGTGTAGGCCTACTTCTTAAGTGCAAGTGTCTTTTATGTTATTAATATTATATTATCTGCAAGTACATTTTTGTAGAAACATTCCATATACTAGATCTAAAGTACATCAGAAGTGCACATTCAATGCAATTAAGCACTTCTTTTACACAAAGGGAATGCTGAATTAAATCAAATTAAAATGCCTCATGATTAATGTGTAAATTAATTTATAACTGTATAAAAGCCTTGCAAAATATTTAAGTCAGAACACAGAGGTACTTTTGAGTCCTCAATGGAGAAAGATTGCTTTTCATGACATCAGCCATCAGGGCCATGATTTTTGCAATTTACTGACATTAGTGGCACAGAAATTATTCAGATGCAGAAAGACTGCGGTGGGTTGTGTGCATGTCACCGAAGAGCATCCAGATTATAAATAACTGCTCCGTGTGTTTTTGTTGCAGGTCAGCAGCAGCAGTCAGGTAACACAGAGCGATCTGAAGCCAGCTGTGCTGTACCCATGGAGACACAGGAGTGCAGGTCCACAGGTCAGGGTCAAGAGAGACTGGAACATTCCACCAATCCGAGTATCAGAAAACAGCAAGCAGGTCCCTGAAGATCTGGTCCAGGTAAACACACAGCCCACCATTAGTTGCCCAACATAGATCTGAAAAAGATACTGTGTGTAAAAAAATAAAAAAATAAAAACTTTTTCAGAGTTCACTAGAGTATACTAATTTAAAGAGGTAATGTATTTTTATGAATAGAACTATCGACAAAATTAGTACTTTATTCGTCATATTATTCTGGTTTAAAACAACTACAAAAATATCACAAAGAACTACATTTTTATGCAATACAGCCAAATAAAAGAATTAGCAAGGCTCTGTGTGTAAGTGTATAAGCTGTTTACCATACGGTTGTAACACGTTCCATGTCCACTCTCACAGATCAAATCAGACAAGGTTTTCACCGGGGAGGTGATATACATGCTGGAGGGGCCCGGGGTTGACCAGGACCCCAAAGGCCTCTTTGAAATTGATGAAAAAACAGGATGGATCAAGAGCAAAATGCCACTAGACAGGGAAAAACACAAGAGCTTTAAGGTAAACGTGCTTGTTGGAATTGTGGTTTTATAATGAAGTCATGAACAGAGGGAAACAAAAGTCTGGTGAAAATGGGAAGCTTCTATTGCATTTTTATCAAATTGAATAATTGTGACCAAGAAATAGTGCAGAACAATATCCATTATTTGATATTTAAATATTTAAAAAAATACTCTTTCTTTCTTTTGAATTTTTTCACAATTATAATACTGTTTTTTTCCATATTTACAGTATGGTCCCAAACTTATGAACTCCACTGTAGAGCTCACAGATAAGAGATTGATGAATTATGTGATATATCTGAATAACTTATATGCATAATGTCCTCAGCTCAAAGCTTTTGCACTTTCCCCAAGTGGAGAGAGACTGGAAAGTCCCACCACGATTGAAATCTACGTTTTAGATCAGAATGACCACAGGCCTGAATTTACCCAGAAGGAGTTTGTCGGCACTATCCCAGAATTCTCTGTTCCAGGTAAGATATGCATGCACAATAGCATTTCAAAAAATATTTTAAGAAATAAAATAAATATTTTATATAAAAGAAGAACACACTGTCACATCAATGCAATGAATAGTTCATTCAAAAATGAAAATTATATCATCACCTTAATTTCCACTGAACCGTGTATGTTTTTCTTTCTTCTTCTCAAATTTTGTTATTTAGCAAAATGGCTAGGCTGTTCCATTCCATGTTCCACATCGCATGTTCAAAATACATGCAAGAATCAATGAAGTTTATGCACAATGTCTTCTTCCTCTTATTTGGTGTCGAGTGCACTGTATTTCTGGTTGAAAGCAAACTAAGATATACTTGCGTATCATAAATGTATCATGACCTCATAAGGAGGACATGACTGTTTTTGTAAAGTAACAGCTTAGATTTTGTTCTATTCCTCACACAAAGCTATCATATTGGTTTAGAAGACTTGAAATATATTACACGATCATACAGATCACTTTTATAGTACCTTCTGGTACTTCCTTTGCCCTTTTTGGAACTTCAGCAGTCAGGGTCACCATCCACTTTCACTAGATAGCCATTCTGTTAAATATCTTCTTTCATATTCTACAGAAATGTAGATTTTCGAGTGAGTTATGCCTTTATGCCAGGCAGTCAGATGTACAAACATAAGTATCATAACCGTGTTGTGTGGTTCTGTCATCAGGAACTTCAGTAATGCAAGTTACAGCGATAGATTCTGATGATCCAATGACCGAAAACGCAGCTCTGAGCTACTCCATCATTGGGCAAGAGAGTATCCCTCCTCACGGCATCAACAAGACCATGTTTGGCATTAACAACAAAACTGGAGTCATCTACACTCGGGATGTGGGACTAGACAGAGATGTGGGTTATATTGTGTCTCAGAAATAAACAGCATAGACAAAAATACTGATTTCAAAGTCTGAACAAAGAAAGCAGTAACATGCCCTGATGTGTTGTCAGGTGGTGCAGTCCTTCAGGCTGACTCTGCAGGTGGCTGACATGTCTGGAATGGGCCTAACCTCCACCGGTTGTGCCATCATTCACATCTCTGACATTAACAACCATGCTCCGAAATTCCATCCTACCATGGTACGTAACAACAAAAAAACCAATTGAAAACATGCACAGTCTGTGACGTTCACTTGATCGTTGTTTTCTGAGCTCTTGATCCAATTCTGTGACTGCAGTACAACATGTATGCAATGGAGAACAAGTACATCGCGGAGCTGGGCAGGGTCAATGCGACAGATAAGGACCAGAAAGGTGGAGATAACTGGAAGATTAAGTACACCATTGTAAATCCTTCAGGGCACTTTGCCATCCGCACAGACCCAGTTTCCAACCAAGGCATCATTTCTGTGGTTAAGGTGAGATTACTTCAACAAACGTGGTAAATTTAAGACTGCAGCCATGGGACTATCAAAATCAGTTACTGGCCAATTTCGACTGGCAAACCAAGCTTGTCCCATTTTTTAAATAGATTTAATGTGAAACCTTAAGGTTATCATATTCATATTAAAGCCAGAAAACTTCAGTTTTGATTTTATGGGGACTTTAAGGCCAAGTATTCATCATTCATACATTATTTTAGTCAACAAAAAAAAAATGACATAACCAAAAATAGCACAAAACAAAAGTATCAGCTGAACTCTGATTTGACAGTGTTAAACATGATGTATAATAAAAAAATAAATGATTTTACATTTAAAAAAAGCTATGTTAATAAAAACATTTAACTACAAATTTTAAAATGCAATCTAAATGTAAGCCTAAATCAGCATTTACATTTAGCCATTTATAGGACAATAGTTTAATTTACATAAAATGTAATAGTTCGAGGTTCCATCCCTCCTCTTTCTCATCAACCCATACCTCAGGAAACTGTGATTGTGTTTCTTATTATTTGTACACTACATTTCAAATGCAATGTCTCTACTCTCTTGCAGCCACTAGACTATGAATCCCAGGCAGAGTACCAGCTCTTTGTCAAAGCAGAGAATGAAGTCAGGCTTAAAGCCCCGTACGAACAAATACACAGTGCTACAGTCACCGTCAAAGTGATGAATGAGAACGAGGCCCCAATCTTCTATAAAAACCCCATTAAAGTGACTGTTGCAGAGTCCACTGTTCCCGGTACTGTCCTGGTCTCAAATATTGCTCACGATCCAGATAATGCCAAGCTAAGGTGAGGCTCACTTATCTGTACCATCATTCCACACACACTTTTATTCTGCACAGCACAATGAAGCCATGTAGGAGATGTTCTTGGATCGACATCCTTTGTTAGTCCTGGAACAGCATTCTTATCAAGCAACCATGTGCAAAACCCTTGAGCTTATACTACTCATTAAAAAAGGATTGATTTATTGATTGAATGATCTATTGATTGATTGAAGAATGTTATTAATTCAAAACCTCATTTGATTGGTAGATTAATAACAAGGATATTGATTCAGGAACATTAATCTGTATACTTAAGTGTGCTTAAGTGTAAAAAGTGCACTTTTTAATAATGTCAAATTAAAAGTTTAAAGTACATTTTAAATTCCATTGTCATTTGTAAGTCGCTTTGGATAAAAGCTTTAGCTTAAAGACTAAATGTAAATGTAAATGTAAATCACTGATTTATTAGTCTTTTGTTATGCTTTAAAGAAGTACATTTATATTTATGAGTTGACTAACAAAGCACATGTAAAATACTTTTATAATTAATTTTAACTATAGTGTTATATTTTATATTATGCATAATGATAATATATTTTAAATACCACATTTGTAATTACAAATGTGTAATTAAGAATGCATTTAAATTCATGACATACAAGCTTCATCGGAAATTACATTTAAGTATATTTTAGTATACATTAAATACAGTATATTTAAATATACATTAAAATATATTTATAAAATTAAAACCCATTTAGACAAAAAGGTTCTTCTATGGCATCGTGAAGCACCTTTATTTTTAAGAGTGTAACATGCAGTTAATTGTCCCAAAAACATTTCACATTTTTCAATGAATTACAGTATTAATTCTGTAATAAGTGCTCTTCTTTTTCACAAGGGAAAGATTACATACATTAATCCTTATGCACTGTATGTTCTAAATTTTATGTGTAGTGACCTACTTAGGATTGTGAATTTTTGTTCAGGTTTGAAATCATTCAGGATCCTGAGAATTGGCTTGCTATTAACCATGCAACGGGACAAATCACAGCCAGGAGATCCTTCAACATCCAGTCTCCCCACGTCAGAAACAACATTTACTCTGCTATTGTGAAAGTCATAGATCAGGGTGAGCACCTCAGACCTGAAGACCAAAATAATAACAGCAGAATAAAATATTTGATACTGTGACTATGCCGTCACAAAATAACCAGTGTGCCTTTGTTTTAATAAAAATGGTAATCATTCATATGATAACTCTCTTTCCAGACGCTGATGGCATCTCTGCAACAGCTACATTGGAGGTCAATCTGTGGGAGACCAATGATTACCCACCAGTGCTCATACCCTTGAGTGGGACAGTGTGCAGTGATCGGGACAGAGATAAATTGGGCCTTCTGCTTAGTGCTGTGGATGAGGACATGTACCCTCAAGCTGACCCCTTCACCTTTTACATTGCTGATCAAAATGTGGCTGCCAACTGGACCATCATAACTCTTAATGGTAAAACATTAGACATACATTTATTTTTTATATCTTTGTACCCTGCTGAAAACCAGCTTAGATTAGTATGAAAGTCCATGCTGGTCCTGGTTGATCTGGGTGCTGGTTTGGTGCAAGTATACCTGGTGCACCAGCATAGCCATAGTGAGATTGTTAAGCCAGTTAACCAGCATGGTCTTTCAGGTGGAACTGGTCAATCAAGTAAGTCTTGGATAATCAAGCTAGCTAAGAAGCCAGGAGTGGAAACAGACTGGTTAATGCTGGTTTGGTACTTGTCTAGATGTTGTTTTATTGGTCTTTGTTGAAGCTAGTTAAACTAGAAATCTTGCTGATTAAGTAAGTCAAGAAGACTGCTGCATTTTATATTATTATTTAGAGAAAACCTTAATCAAACACACTTGAACAAGCTCATCAAGGTATTCAGGATTATTAGAAAGGCAGGTGAGTCTGATCAAGGTTGGATCTAAACTCTGCAGCAAAGTGGACCTCAAGGGCCAGAGTTGAGAACCCCTGCTTTAGAGCAAGGGTAGCTAACCCTTCTCCTTTAGGGCAACCATTGTGTAGAATTTAGCACTAACCTCGATCAAACTCACCTGCCTTTTACTTTCGAGCAGTTCTGACCTTGATTAGCTTGTAATATTTATATGAGGGTTGGAGCAAAACTCTGCAGGAAAGTGGACCTCAAGTGTAGCTAACCCTGCTCTTGGAGGGCTTGTTAAGATGTATTTGAATAGGGTTAAAGTAAAACTCTGAAGAAAAGTGGACCTTGAGGGCCAGAGTTGAGAATCACTAGTTTAAAATAAGGGTAGCCAACCTGGCTCCTTGAGGGCTACCATCCTCCAACCATAATCAAAAATATTTGAAGCTAATAAAAGTGCTCCGGATTACTTGAAAATAACAGGCAGGTGTGTTGAAGAAAGGTTGGAAGTTAAGTCTGCAGGAGGATAGGTAGACCAATAGGAGCAGCGTTGGCTACCCTTGCTTTAGAAACAGATTTCACAGAGTGTACTTTGATTTCTAAGACCCCTTGCTTCTGGTTCTGTCTCTTTACATGTCCGTTACCAGAGACCCATGCGGTTCTCCAGCCACTGATAGACATAGAGAAAGGGGAATTCTCTATTCCTGTGGCCGTATCAGACTCTGGCTCTCCTTCCCTTTCCTCTAATGCTCTGGTCAACGTGACTGTGTGTCCCTGTGACAGTTTCGGTGACTGCAAGAGCTACACCGCAGTCATCTTTGGAACCAAAATGGGAATAAGCTTCATTGCCCTTATGATTATTATGGGATGCATTGCTCTTCTGTTGTGTAAGTAAACACTATATTTATGTGAACATGCATAAGCTGTAGTATATTGGTAGTAGATATACTTGAAATTTGTTCTAATAAAGCTTTTTTTTTCAGTTCTGATTGTTCTTGCTGTGGCGGTGAAGGGCTGCACAAGGCAGAACATTAGAAAAGGAGGAGGTCTGCTGGTCGGAGCGTCTGATGATGACATCCGAGACAATGTCTTTCACTATGATGAGCAGGGAGGAGGAGAAGAGGATGAAGTAAGAGCAATGACACAAAATTGAATACATTTTACATGTAGATACAGTGTATTCTGAACTAGATATATAAATAAGTGAATATATAAAATATATTATGCAAAGATCATGCAACAGTAGATAGGAGCAGATGTGGAGAGTAACTTACAGGAAGAACATACTATGATTTGTACACAGTATGTGCACTTTGCCAATTCTGTATATACTGCAGAATACTCATATGACCTACTACATTTGTCAAAATGAATAGTAAACAACACAGCACACCAAAGACATTTTTTCCACATAGCAGGATTAAAATGAAAAAAAAAAAAAATCTAAAATAAATAGACACTATTTACTAAATTATATGCCTACATGGTATGGTGAGCTCATATGCAGTAAGCATAGGATGATTGAACATAGCTCCTGTCCAAGTCAAAGACTTTGATTTATCCTGGGGATTTTCCCCGTCTGACACATGGATCCTAGAGTGATAGAGTGGACAGATGTATAGGGCCTCCTGACCCACATTAAATGCTTGCAAAATCCTTGTGCTTTCAATCTTTTAGTTCAGCAAATTATAATAAAGTTGAATGTTTGTTGGATTTTATTCTGCTTTGAGGTGAAATGTTAAACTTCCTGAAATACCTAAAGCTGTTTCTCTCCTATAGGATGCATTTAATATTGATTTTCTGAGGAACCCAAGTGACATGGTCCCTGCCCCAGCCTCATTTTTCCCACAAGACTGCAGCCTGCCCAGAGGAAAGCAACCTCTAAGGAAAGATGCACCCCATAACCTGCCTTCTCCTACATATCCACGCAAACCCCCCGGAGACCCAACAGACATAGAAGATTTCATCAATGTTGTAAGTGAGGTTTCTTTATAAGAATTAAGATTCATTCTGGAATATTTGTGGGTAATATTAGGAAATTTCCTTAGCATTTACTTTGAAAAGGTTAGTAAAAAGGAAAATATTAGTTATATATCATTACTATTCTTCATGGTGCTAATATTTTTACTCTAAGTTTGGAAATTACAAATTTAATAGCTAAATCAAGAAAACAAAACAACAACAAAAAAAAACTACATAGTAAAAGAATTGAATCAAAGGCAAATATAAAACTTTATATGACCCTTAAAATGTAATTAAGATGAATATAGACACATTCTCTGACTTTGCTATGCAATTACCAATGAAAATCAAATGCACTTTTTCTGCTTCACCTCAACAGGGGCTGGACGCTGCTGACAATGACCCTAATGTCCCACCATACGATACAGCTCTGATCTATGACTATGAGGACGATGGGTCGGTAGCAGGCAGCCTTAGCTCTATTGCTTCCATGGGCTCAGACGGTGACCAGGACTATGACTACCTCAATGACTGGGGACCACGGTTTAAAAAACTAGCTAACATGTACGACCCACGTTAGGCACCAGACTGATTCTTTTGTTCAAGATGTTCAGATACTCTCATACATGCATGTCCTTCAAAACTCTATGCAAATCAAATGTCCCATCTTCAATATGAGAGTGCTCATGATGTAAGGACGAGGGGGGCGGATTACATTTTTGATATTGTAGATAAATGGAGATCTCTATCTATTCCCCAGTGATCAGTGTAAAGGTCATCAGTGTCTTTTTCCTTTCCTTCATGGATCAGTGAACTATTTCAACTGCTGATGAAATGCTGCTGCTATTGAAGCTGGTGTGACAGGTGCTTACTGTGGGCCAGTGTGCAAATGGCTCACATTGTGAAAGCACCAACTGGAGGGAGGAACCGTGTGTTAGTGCATACTGATTAGACATGGTGCAAAAAGAGATGCCTTGTTCATAAACCAAGCGTCATGTTCTTGAGGGATTATTTTAGCTGATGACCAATACAGAGGTTTGCGGAGCATGTGGGGTACACAGGAAGAATAATTCACCCAAAAAAGAAATTGATATTCATAAATTGTCATTTACTTATAACAATCATACTAAACCCATATGACTTTCTTTCATCTATCAAACACAGAAGGATATTTTATATGTTGGTAAACTTCAAAGCTACTTTTTTCTATAAAAAAAAGATATGGTCAAATATGGTGCATCAAGTTACACAGTGCCAAATTTGAATAGTAGTAACACCAAAGGACACTGGTTTTAGTGTATAAAGATGAGAGTGAAAGCACCAATCAGAAATTTTCAATCTTATGTGATTAAAAAAAAAAAAACACGTTTGAGTCAGTACAGATGATTTGAATGCTAATGTATGGTAGTCAATGGACAAAGAGAAAGTGAAAAAAAAAAAAAGATTTCCGCCCATGAAAATCTTTAGTTGTACGGAAAACAGCAGCTCCAAAATTATATATTCTTGTGTATTTCAATGGAAGAAAGTCGTATTCCTATAAAAAAAAAATAACGGAGGAGGTCCCAGCAAAGTCTCAATGTCATCGTAGTTGACCACCTCCCTCTCCAGCAGGTTATTAGCCAGCTGAAAACACAGCAAACAACAACAATGCATCAAGTCATCATGCAAGCCAAAAAAAGTAATAAAAAAGGCTATGCTATGAGGATTTTCTACCTAGCTTGCCGAAAACCAACTGAAATAAAAACAACAACAGAAAATATTTAATTTGACCATTTTTAGCTTTTGTAATATATACGTGTCATTTCTATTTTGGCTCACAATTCAACAAAAAGAAAATGCTCATTTTGGCGTTTTTTCATCAATGTAACTTTACATGCCAGAACAGAAACTTCTAAATTAACTAATGTATTATTTATTCAAAACTGAATAAGACCTCATATTCTGTAGTACATATTTATTGAGAGGTCCAAAATCGGTTTGTATGCTTAAAATCTTATGTACGTGAGAATGTAACAAAAACGTGAGTGTATTATGAGTATAAGATAAGAGAAAATGAGAAATTACTGAATCAGCTAAGATGATTTGAAGCCACATTTAGAAAACATTCTTAAGAAAAAAAGAAAAAAAAAATCCCTTATTTTCTAACGTTTGTTAAACATTTTGCATTCCTAAAAACATTTCTTAAGAATGATATCTTTTTTTGAAGGTCTAAAGCTTAAGATCTTAAAAAATAAAATAAAAAACGGTCTGTTGTTGGCTGGTTGTCTAAATGTTTTGTTGTTTCAAATATTATGCATTTGAACGTAACATAACTACATCACTATTAATAGGGATGTGCAGGACTACTCCGAAGTGACACTACTAATGTAAATAATGATCAGTCATGATTGTGTGTCTTGAATTTTTGCGGAATATTAAATTTATTAACAACTCTACAAAAACGATTTATGTAATTCACTCATTTTTAATTCTATAACAGCACTTATGATATTGTGCATTCTCACTCTAGCAAAGTAACTATTTAAAAATACAGAGCATATTAAAAAAAAAGCTAAATAAATTCTGAACTCCCTTCAAGCCAGTCATGATGAAAATAGTATGCATGCTTATGATTATCTGCATGACAAAAAGATGGTCTTTAAAGTGTTTTTCATCGAGTTGACCAGCGAGTCTTCAGCAAGATCCAGCATACAAACAGGTAACCCAAAGCTTGCCATTTTCTTCTTAAGAAAACAAAAGATCTCGAAAATATTTGAGAACTTCCTTAGAAGAATTTGAGACTCTCTTCAAGAACTACAATTAGGAACATTTTTATGAATGTCTTAGAATTGATCTTTAGAAATTTCTTAACTTCTTTCTTAGGAAGATTTTCATGATTTTAGATCTTACCAAAATAAGTTTGTCTCTGTTGTCCAAGAGCAATTTCTCTGTGTGCCTGTAGGCCTTTGCTATTAGCATCTTAGCTTCCTGAACATGAGAGAAAAGAACACAAATAAATAACCACACACACATATTCAAAACAACTGATATTTAAAGGCAGGGTATGTGATTTTTCAAAAACACTTTAGAAAACTGATTCGGGCCGAATAGCAAAACAAACTTGTAGCCAATCAGCAATAAGGGGCGTGTCTACTCGTGATGTGGAGGAGAGAGCTTTCAGTGCATGGGACGGACATTACCCGAGCGACAGAAAGATAGAGAGGGCGGATAAAAAACAAAAGAGGAAAACGTCTGCGGAAAGATAAGGCAAGAAGTAGGACCCGTGTAAAATATTGGATCAGCTTTCCAGTGCTGGAGAGAACTCAAGGAGCGGAGGCCTGCGATCGGACGCCGAGGTTGCTTTGTTTCTTCTCAATAGGTGAGTAACACCGTGTCTACAACAGCTAAAGTCTGACTACACTGGACGCGATCAAACGACCGTTGAAAACCATTTGAAATGTGTGTCAGCACATCATAAATAGAACCCGGCAGCAGTTTTCTGTCGGGATTTGTTGCGCCGCGCCGCTCACGTCCGTAGACACGGTGTAACATTGGTTTTGCTTTGTTTCACAGAACTAATCGTTGCCTGGCTTGCGTACGTATGTGTGGGGCGGAGCTATCAAAATAGGGGCAAGACCCTTTTGGGGTAGGGGCGTGTTTGTTTTGGTGATTTCAAATATCAACATTGGCTACCAGAAATCACGTACTCTGCCTTTAACACCCACACAAGCCTCTGTAACATCACATCACCCACACCACACCAGTGGAACAATAAACAGGTGAGTATGTTCTTTCACCCACATGGTCCATCTGCTGTTGGAGTCCTTGGCTGAATGGTCTCCGTCCAATACCGCCCTGATCCTCGGAGTCGGGGAAGGACACCTGGCCCACACTGGCAACCATGCCATACTGCTTCACCATGGAGTAGGCCACGCGGGTCACCTTCCTCAGGTCATCCTGAGCACCTACAACAAGTTTCTAAGTTATCTGGTGTCTATTACTACCTATAAATATTTATGAGGTCAGGTCTGCATCTGTACTACTGGGTACACAATTGCTCCTTGCAAATAACTATTTCCTACTAGTCAATATGCATTCGTCCTCCAGGGGGCGCCTGAAAGCTACATTCAAATATTTTTCTCTCACTCATATATGTCTCCTCTCTACAGAACATAATAATAGAAAAATCATTAAAATCATTAAATAAACACCCTATTCTGTTATCACACTGTTTCATGCGAATTACTATTCTATCTGCTAGTTCTGTTTCTCTAATATGTATTCATAACTCTCCTCTTAAAGGTGTGTGTGTGCTTTCATATTAGATGTGTATCAGTGTGTATATGTCATACCTGTGGTGACCTTATTGAAGGTGATGGCTTCAGAGGCTCGTCCACCCAAAGCCATACACATCCTCTCAAACAGCTGCTCTTTAGTAAATAAATACTGATCCTTTGGCAGGATCTGAGCAAAGCCCAAAGCAGCATTTGTTCTGGGAGCAATTGAAACCTGTAGAACAAGTCCACAGTTAAAAAAACATTCGGGTATATTAATAAATCGTTAATTAATCACAAAGTGATTGCTATACAGTGTAGGGCTTACTTTGAAATGATTTTCACTCAGAAATTGCTAGTAAATATCGATAATATTTTTAAAGAAACAGCAAGTACCACACTGAATTAAACGTGAAATTTGGAAGCAGACAGACTGAAATAGTATTTTCTTGTAAAACCTATTCCAGTAACCTTTGGTTTATTCACAACTCTCAATCATTTTGTACAGTGAGTCTGTCAAATCTGTGATCTGGCATTACAACATGTTCACAATTGTCACTGGATTCCTTTATCACTCTTCTGATGCCTAAACCTGAACAGGCCTACAGGTAGTTCACATAAAAAAAGGTTTACCTTCATGACAGCTTCGGTGTGTTCTAGCAGCCATCCCACTAAAGCATGACCAGACTCATGAAAAGCCACCACCCTCTGCTCTTCTTTAGATAAGATTTTACTCTTCTTCACACTCCCTGCAAATCACAAACAATGTGATCAACAAATGGAGCCGATTGTGTAGAAATCTGTAATGCAATATCAGAGTACACTATTTTTAGCTAGGAGCTGAATACCTGCGATGACTCTCTCCACAGCATATTCAAAGTTAAAGGTGTCAATAGACTTGTAGCCCTCTCTGGCAGCATGAAGGGCGGCTTCATTGCAGATGTTGGCGATGTCAGCCCCTGGAAACATGAACAATGCACAAAGGGCAATTGTGGCAGGATGTGGTGTTAGGAGATAACACGGACTCAGTCAAAACAACACTCACCACTGAAGCCTGGTGTCAACTCTGCCAGACGCAGGGAGTAGAAGTCTGCCGGCTGAGTAAGCTTCAGGATCTTCAGGTGCTGCTCAAAGATTTCCTTTCTCTCCTAGAACACAATCACACGATCCTTCAGGAACCATTCTAGTATGTTGATTTGGTGCTCATTTATTAATAATAGTTCTTCTTATTATTATTATTAATGTTGAAAACAGTTGTACCTAATACAGTTGTACCTTTGGTGTTATTTACACCAAAATATTAAATGGTAGTGTGTCTTGGTTTCCACAAATATATTAAGCAGCAAAATATTGTCAGCATTGATGATATTATAAAAAATTCTTGAGCACAATATCAGCATACTAGACACAGAAGTCTGGTATAACGGCTGCTGAAAATTCAACTTTGCCATCACAGGAACAAATTACATTTTAAAATATATTCAAATAGAAAACAGTTAAAATCGTTTAACTGTCGTTTAAACTGTAATAACATTTAACATGTTCATCACTGTTTTTACAATATTTGTGATCAAATATATTAAGCCTGGGTGAGTAACTTCTTTCAAAAACATTACAAATTTTGTAGTGTACATGCGTTTATCTCAGGACAATTATTAGAATTTGCTTAGAAAACTGCCCAATTCACCGTCCATTACTAGATTGAAATTCTCCAGAAAGAATGCAGAGAAGTGATTATGCAAATGTAATGCAGTGAGCAAATCTACTTCATAAAGTTATTCACACTTGGAACATCTGGTAAGCAATCAAAATCAAGAACTTAACAATAGAATAAGACAGTCTATAGCAGCTATATGTCCCCAAAAAAGCATTTTGAACATTCATTACCTGAAGAGTTGGCAGGTCTATAAATATGTGCCTGTCAAGTCTGCCTGGTCTCATAAGTGCATTGTCCAGAATGTCTGCCCGGTTAGTGGAGGCCAGGACAATCACATGATCTGTGGTACCCATTCCTTGAAAAAAAGAGAAGAAAAATAATCTCAGAAGGTCACATGCTGATCATGTTAGCCAATAAAGACATTTATTAAAATCGACTGAATATATATGCAGTGCAGCACCAACTCAACAATAGTCTATTACATAAAAATTCTAATAAAAGTTAAGTCAGCACAGTCAAGGTTTTGCTGTTATCCTGTTACCATAGCAAACACTTATGCATCCAGGAGAAAAAAAATGAACTCGTACAAGAGGTGAATGATTTTTTCCACTTCAGATAAATACTATACAAATTAATGTATTAGTTTTAAAATTTAACATTAACATGATTATAATTAAACACAGCCTTTAGCTTACATTTAAAGCAAAACATATATGCGGAAAAATTATAATTTAATGTAGTATTTCCCATGTAAAGGGCTTCGATTTAGTTGACTAGTCTCGCATATCCCTAATTATTACCATCCATCTCCACAAGCAGCTGGTTAAGGGTCTGCTCTTCCTCTGTGTTTGAGAAACCAGACATGTTTGTGGACCGTTTCTTCCCCACAGCATCAATCTCATCGATGTAGACGATGCATGGCGCTCGAGCACGAGCCTCTTTGAAAAGACTTCGCACTCTTGCGGCACCAAGGCCTGGGTGGGGAAAGATCATTCAGATGTAAATATGAAGATGTTACTATAGGATGATGAAATATACAGAGTTTATAGCACTGAATTACCTCCGATCACCTCCACAAACTCTGAACCTGCCATGGCAAGGAAGGGTACCTGAGCTTCTGTTGCCACTGCCTTAGCCAGCAGAGTTTTACCACAGCCAGGGGGCCCCAGGAGCAGAGAGCCCTTAGGTACCTTGGCCCCAAGCTGAAGGTATCTATCTGGATTCTTCAAAAAGAAAACAGATTATATGCAAAGAACTCTGTAACGTGCATTCCTGAATTACTGTGGCAGTAGCAACCTAAGTACTCAAGGGGGCGATAGAGTTATCTTCAAATGCCCGTACAAATACTAGATGTGTTATTATTGAGGTAGCTAAATATAAACATGTAGACAGTTAAATATTTTGCTCTGTCATGACAGCGACTGACCTGAAAGAGAAAACTGACTGTAGAATAAGGTTCACACTTATTAAAGATTACTATGACTATTATACTATAAGAATAATTGTACTAATAAGAAGAACTGCATAATTTTAAGCAACTCCTGCAAATAAAAAACACTGCAAATAAAAAACAAATACATGGTCTACTGAGTGTTACTCACTTTGCCAAAAAAACAAACAAAACAATGCTAGCATTTTTCTGTTTGTTTATATTTCAATATTCAAAGATTTAAGCATTAATCTCATAGCATTATTTATGGAATTGCAGTGTAAATATATATTTTTAAAGATTCAGGTGCAGATTCTGTAGCAGGCAGATTATTTGACATCAGAAAATATTTGAATTGTACAATTCTACAACGAATGTAAATGAAGGAATCCTGACTTACAAAAGCGCTAAAGCCACCATCTCTCCCACCCATTCCTGCCAGGCGGAAGATGTACCAGAGAATTGCAACCCCAATGGCAGCCATACCGAGTGCATAAAGAGCACTGTGAAGGACAAGAAATTGATCCAGTGATACTTTGTAATGCCAACAGTTGATCTGAATCTTTTTTCAGCTTGACAGGATTGCATGCTCTGTGGAAGGTCCAAATTACTCACTTCCCAAAGAAGCCTGTGCGCTTGTAGGTGACTGGTATTCTGTCTTTGGTATCTATATTCAGCTCTTCCTCTGCTGCTCTAAGCTTCTCCTCAAACTTGTCAATATTGGCCACCTGCATTCGGTACATCAGGGCAAGTCTCTACAACAGACAACAGGAAATTAGTGAAACTAGATTTAATAGCAACAAAACGATAACATTTTGAAATCAAATATGGCACTTGTATGTGAAATGACGTACAGGTCTGCCGAAGATGACTGCACCAGGGTGAAGGTAGATCTCCACAACGTCACTCTCTGGAACCACCTGTACTCGTGACACCTCCCCTTTGGCCAACATTTCATTTACAAAATCATTCCAGGATATGTTCCCCCCACTGGTGTTGATGGAGTTGAGCAAGCTCATGATGACAGCGATAATAAAGAGTGTGCGCAGTCGTTCCCTATACATCTGGTCCTCCTGCTCTCGTCTCTTTTTCTCTTCTAGGGAGTAAACAATGAAGTAAAGCAAGCATGAATAATCTGGTATGAAAGTATATCTGCCTGATTGAATTATTTGTGTCTGATTGGTCAACACATTGCATTTATTGATTGTTGTCCCATTCAACTTGATGTCCTACATAGCTGTGCCAATTCTATGACTGTCATTTTACTTCATGGTCTCTAAATAAAACAATTTAAACTCAAATCACCTGTAGCCATGTAATAAGCAGGACAGTGTAGGAACGTGTGATATACATTGTCTACAATAAAACTGTAATTGTCAATGACATTATTGAACATGTAGCTCACTTCGCAAAAAAACGAACAAAAATACCCCTTCATTGCATTACGTTATCTTTTTAGTATAACCTACTGAAGTATTTGTAACAGCAATAAAAAATGAAAATAAAAAATAGCCACACAGTGGTGTTTCGTTACTGCATTTTGTTGATTGAACTGATTGAGTGAGTGAATGATTGAATGATTCAATGACGCATTCATAAAGATGGTCACTTGCTTCATTTCTGAATGAATCAGCTGTTTGAAACAAATCTTTTAAATGAATGATGCAATGACTCACTCATTAAGACAGGGACTTACTGACAGTTGTAGATTTATATTTAAAAACACAATTTTATTTAAACTAATTAAATTTTTATGTTCCAATATTTAAAACATTATCTTAAAACGCATCAGTCCCTTATTATTATAGTTTGATTTATTGATTAAATGCAAGAATTAAAAAACAACAACAACAAAAATGTATCTGAAATGTTTAATAAAGTTGAAAAAAATGCCCTTATAAAGGCAAAGAATCATGAGGAAACTGAAGTAGTGACAGACGTTTTTGCGAGGCACATTCCAATGTAACAAATTATTGAAAAAGAAAAAAAATAACTTGTTTACAACTTGGTTCTATCTATTAGTTGTTGATTGGATTTAGAGATTTGGATGCTGCACTCAAATACAGAGGCAGATGGAAACAAGCTTGTCAGAGTGGGTTTAAGCAGGCTAAATGATCGGAGAAGTCCTGCATATGTTTTTTTTTTTTTTAATTAAAAATATACGGATAAACCATTCACAATAATATGCATTTAGAAAGTAGTTTGTAAACTACTGTTTTAAAAATTCAGAAAATACCTTCATCCTCCTCTGGGGTCTTCCCTTTTCCACCTTCTTTCTTTTCATGTCTTCTGTTGGATGTGCTGAAATAGTGAGTAGTGCCTGACAGATGTGAAAACATATTTGCATTATGCCATGCAACATAATTCAGAAAAAGCATCAAGATTCAAAAATCAAAAGTTCTGCATCACAACTCTTTCCAGCCAAAACAAAAAATGTCATTACTTACCAAATTTCATACTTACCTAATAGTTTCCAAAGTTTCACAGGATTTGTGACCAGTTTGTGGCGACAATGGAATTCAAGTCCAATAAGCCTCGGGATTAAAGGCTTTGTCAAAATGTTCTGTGAAACAATGGCAACTTGGTTAATCACCCAAGAAAACATCAAGGTCATGCTCATGCATAATCATAGAGATTACATGCTATTATTATGATCCATCTGCTCTGTTTTCTCAAGCAAAAAAAAAATATAACAGACTTGACTTATCAAAGATAATGCACTAATTTTATTATATTAAAACATATCCTGTTCTACATTACATTAAAACTGTATGTTCTATATAAACCGTATATATCAGCATCGGACATTATGTGCAAGCTGTCCCACATTATACTTAACATCACTGTTCATAGGATAGCATACATTCGTAGCATAAATAGTTAAATAACTATTATTATTAAATAACTATTAATAACTATAAATAGAATAAATAACCCACCTGAATGTGTCCTGATTTTAGACCTCGTTTGTTTGGAGTCACTAACGGCAAGTATGAAGTCACATTGTTCTCCAGGAGTTTTCTGCAGGTTTGAAAACAGCTGAAACGAGACGATAGCGACCAAACCCGTTTGTCGTAACACTTGCTTCCGCGCTGCAAAAGTAGCGCTGCCATACTAAATGCTGGTTTATCGCGTCGCTTGGATCAAAAACATACTAAACCAAAAACAAATGGCAGTCTTTAATGTGACCTCCCTAAGAGGTGCTATCACGCAGCTGTCATTGTGATTCTGCAGGTCTTATCCAACACAGCCAAAAATATAGCTGCTGTAAAACAACAAGCACGTCTCCTGCTCGAATATATCACAAATATACAGAACAAATAAAATGCTTAAATACAAAAGAGTCTTAAATTATACAACTATAAGGCCATTACAAAGCTGTACTAAGCCGTGAACTTTAATGATGTTTACCGTGCGGGCTTGAAAAACATGTCTGTTCAACTTTCACCTTCGGAATCAGCCAATCAGAACGGAAACAGCTCGAGTACGGGCTGACGGGAAATGTAGTTCTACTTGCACGTTTATGAACCCAAAAAACTACAAACAGTTCTAGTTGGGCATGCGCAAAAACGACTGTAATCTGATGTTTAAAACGTAGTTATAGTGGGAAAATAAATATAATCTAGTTATAGCGCAGAAATATAGGTACAATAAATCAGTCATTATTAAGATATATATAGTCATGTTGATAGTCATGTCGCACTAGTCAGCTTTTTGTCGAAGCAAGATTTTACACGTCTGCCATTCTTATTTGCACTTGCAGGTATGGGCCTGTGTGATTTCAGATGTCTTTTATGTTAAGATACGAAGTGAATGCAGAACACTTGAGTATAATTATAACAAGATGGTCGAGAATAGAGGAGGATATATCTCAAGACAGCTAGTTTAGGCTCTTTTCAATAGAGGGAGCCATTGCGTTATTCTGATCGCAAGAAATCGGTGTCACGGTCCCTGAGGCTTGTGACGTCAAATCGAAAATAAAACAAAAACCAGCACATCTAATATACATTTACCAGACAACAGTCAAAGAAAGCAAATCGTGCTGTGGCTGATGATCTCGCAATCCGTCACCGGCAAACAGTTTATAATACTTATAAAGTATGCTGTAGATAGCAATAAACGGCAGTTTCAGATCAGTCTGAATTAAAACGGGATGAGGAAAAACAATTCCGGCAGCACTGTTCACTCGTTACTTAAAAAAAACAAACAAACAAAAAGGCAAACAACTTTACTACATATACCCAAGCAGGCTCTCCATTTTCCTCTCACCCAAATGGAGCTCGCAAAAACATGCCACTGTCTCCGCCATTACGGCTCGAGGTCGCCAAAGAAAACAACGTTGGAAGCGTCCCTAGCAAGAACCACAATGGCGCCAGTCTCAACGTTGCAACGGGGAACAAACAGTGACCGCCCATACGCGTCAGCCTATCACAGTCCGCGTATCAACGCTTCGCGTCCGCTCTTCGTCAGCGCGAGTCAAAGGCCGATCGAAACGGTTCGAAAGGAGTCGGACCTAGAGGATTAACTTGAAGCGGAATTTTATTTTTACACTTCAAATCAAGCCAAATCAGCAAACCTAACGTTACTGAGACCCGTGGACTTTTTAAAGGGACGGGTGGAGAGTTTATAACACCTTCTCTTACCAGTTTACCGGAGCCCTGAGAGATTTTAATCATCGTATTTTTGGAGGAGGTAATCAGTGATTATCTTAGCACTCTGGCGCGAGCGCGGACTGAAATGAGCGTCGCGCGCCTCGGATGTTCCCGCATCGGAGCTCGCTGAAGCAGAAGGCCTCAAATGGGAAAAACAAGCATCGGGAGGGAATACCAAGTATAATTTTGTAGATGTAGCTCACGTTTTGAAGAAGGTAAGCAATTTGAAATTGCTCTTTACTCTTTTAAAAGCCATTTCGTGTCGGGAAAACGTCTGTACGTCCTCTCAGGCGTCGACTTTCACGGTTAGCCCGCTAACGGCTCTAGCCCCCTTGCTAAGGGGAGTTTGTTTCCCTCCCCCACCCTGAAGTCGAGGAAATGTTGGCGTATTGCTCAAAATATATGCATTTTGTCAGACTGTGCACCTTTATTTATTCCTACGGGTTGTATAGATCTATAATAAAGAAGGTCTGCAATAATTAAAGCTGAGCGTGTGAAGCTGGAGAAATGAAAATAATCCTCGTCAAGTTGTGGTGCTCTCTGGGAATCGGATATGGCCAGACGGGCTCAGCTGCCCTGCAGAAATCAGCCACTGGGATGGGCAGCTTAATATATGCGTGTTTCAAGGGCACATATGGGAGGAAATATTGTTGTCTCCACATTGATTTTATGTGCTGAAGTAGCTGCAGAGATTATGGAAATACAGAATAAGATCTATACTAAACATTTACGTTGTGTTATCAGCGCACCATTCAGACTATAAATACTAGATCACTGCAACACTCTCAGTTCTCAGTGTTTTTATGAGATTGATGGCGACATGAAATCAGTTTTGGTTTGGTTATCATTTCTCATGTTTAACGGAGGAATTTGTTTCTGGCGAGAAAGAAAAACTGTTTCATAGTATAATAGCCTAAAGATTTCACTTTAGATCCATTAAGGCTGATCCAGTGCTACAATCATTCTATTTTACCAAATAAAGTGTTTCTCAATGCAAACCTGTATCCTTAATGTGGCTAAGCATTCTCTGTATATTAAATGTTTCTTGCTCTTGATTTGGGACAACAGTAAGACCTGAACTTCACTGTTTCTTATGTGGTGTGAGCAGAGGCTCTGAAAACACATTTTGTGAAGGCTGCATGTGGATGTGACCCGTCTACGTGCTTGTTTAGACATTATGTGGAGTGATTGTTTGCTTCATCAAGGAGCTGCATTGAAGCAAGACCTTACAATACTTCTTTAAAGGGTGATCTGAAGGATAGAGACAGAATCTATGAAAGTTTGTGATGAAGTAAACAGAGCTGGTGTTGGTGCAGTGGAAGAACACTGCGGCGGTGTTGGGGCGTTAGCACACTCTCTCTCCCTCTCTTCCACTTTTCATCCCTCCCTTCCTCACTTTTGTTTATTTCTTCTGAGCACAACTTTTACACCGCAACATTGCAAAATACGCTTTACTGTTTCACCCCATAAGAAAACTCAGTTGACTTATGGCACTTGTAGTCTGTTTACCAGAAGGTGGTTTAACAGCACTAATCAGGATTTAGCTAAAGTATAATCCGTAGGTGTTAGTCTGAGGTTGTCAGGCCTGTTTGTCTACCCAATTCTTGTATTTCGAGAGTCCTGCTCATTGTTTAGCAGAGAGGGGAAATGGACTTTTGGTTGGGGTGTGGGGTCAGGAATGCTGTTACTGGGAGCTTCAGAAAGTAGGGCTGCACGATATATCGTTTCAGCATCGATATCGCCATGTGCGCATCCGCAATAGTCACATCGCAGGATGTGCGATGTTTAGTATACTGATCGTTATATTTGTACTGATTGTTTTCTTTGCTCACACACAGACATCGCGTCTATACCGGACGCAACAGCTGTACAGAGATACCCATTTTAAATACATTTAGTAGCAGAGCCACTGAACGCGATTTTCAGTGCTGGAAATCCGTTTATCCTTTGTTGAAACTTCTGCGTGGTCGTAGAGAGCGCAGGTAACAGTTGCTTAGCAACGGCAGACGCCACGAAAGCGCAAGCTCCCAAGCGCTTTGGAAAGGAGGAAGCGGCGCGGCTGGCGTTTAATAATTAATTTTAAGTTAAATTGTGCTTTGTTGGTATAGTGTCTGTTAGAATGTTAAAAATTTTCAGTGTTAAATATTTGTAAATTGTTGTTTTGTAATTGATTTTTTTTTTCTTTGAAAAGCAAGACAAAACAGTAAAAAGCACATTTTGGCTTTTTAATTTCTGCAATGGTGAAATTGTTTTTTGGCAAAGTACATGGGGAAAAAAACTCTGTGTTCGGAATTTGGCCTTCGGCCCCAGTGTTTAATTTTGTTCGGTTTCGGCTTCGGCCAAGAATTTTTTTGATTTGTTTCCTAAAAAGAAGAAAAACAAAGACTGAGTGACATCTTTATTTAACCTAAATCTGTAATTACAGTTATTTAATTTTGTAGTGATATAATTCATATACATATCATTTATATCATTTCATATCATTTAATTATATAATTTCATAAACATAATTTGATTTTATAATAACCCAATTTGAAGCAAAACAGAATGTTCTGACTAGCTTAAATTATACTACAAAACAGAATGTTCTGACTAGTTGAAATTATACTACATGCCTGAACGAAGCAAACAGCAGATGCTCTGAATGAGATGCAGATTCTCTCTCTGACAGCAGGAGGCGCTTCAGGAACACCACACGTTTCCTTGGTTACCGCTGTAAACAAAGCAGCTCTGCGCTGAAACGCTGCTTTAAGAAGTATACAGAGACGAGATGAAAAGAAAATACCACGTAAACTTTTCTGAAGACAGTCAGTTCCCTTCAGAAACACATTAATATAAACCCCCAAATCAATATTGAGGATTTTCTTCCAATGGTTCGTGCATCATGAACAGTGAGTGATCTGCCTGCTACAGTATTTTTCTCTGTGCGTCCGTCTTAACATCTCTGGCCTGTGTTAACGGGCGTTTACAGACTTCATATTTTCACATAAATTACATTTTGGAAAATGATTGCATTGCAACGCAGTTTGTACAAGTCCAGAACAGAGACGAGTTGTTTGCAATAAGACAAAAAGCGTCCGGTTGCTGATCGCGTAAATTCCAGGGACAGCTCCTTAAGTTCGGCCATCCTACACACACGTGACTGACCGCTCGCTCGCACCAACAGGAGGAGGGTCGTGTTACTCTCTACACTGCACTCAACCTGAGGGATTCCTACACTTTCAGTCTTTGAGGAGACATGAAAAACAGCGCATACCACAGGAACGGTATAACGGAAAATATTAGCGGTTTTGAAACCGTGAAATTTTCAAATCGCGGTATACCTTGAAACCGGTAATCGGCCCATGCCAACTCAGGAACATTAAACCGCTGTGAACCAATATACTGTTGCACATCCATTTTCTTTCTCAATTGTTTACCTTCACCTAAGCCATAAGCAAATGCGTTTACAAGGATACTTGCGGAGACATGTATTTTGACATAGTTGTGAACTAGGGTTGAGCCGATAGACGATGCCATCGTACATTGCGATGGCTGATAGACATCACAATGTTGAGCCGGCATCGTGACCCCCCCCAACCAGTAGATATCATCCGATGGAAATTTTGTTGACATCGCCCAACTCTATTGTGAACAGAATTTGGTGTTCACGTGCATCTGCGTGGCTCTCACCGTGTGTACACCAGACGTGAGTGGCGCGACGCAATAAAATACTATAGAATCCATTATATGATGCTGTCTGACTACACACTGGATGCGGCGCGACATGACAAATCCCAGACAGTAAACTGATGCCTCGTTTATGACGTACTGACACATAGTTGAAATGATTTGTAACGGTCGCTTTGTCACGTCCAGTGTAGACAAACTGTAGATGTTACGGCGCAACACGACAGCTGTCGTGTCCGGTGTAGACACGGTGTCTGTGTGTGAGCAAAGAAAATGATCAGTAGCTTATAAATATAACAATCAGTATACTAAACATCGCACATCCTGCGATGTGACTATCGCGGATGCGCACATCGCGATATCGATGCTGAAACGATATATCGTGCTGCCCTAATTCAAGTGGTCCAAAACATGACAATGCTGCTTAAAACTCTTGTGGCTTGCCCTGTTTCTTAATGGATTTGAGACCTGTTTCCCCAGCATATAACTTGGATTTGACAGTTATTTCTTGTCTGCAAATGGTAGAATCTCACACAAGTATTTCCATTCTGCAGGAAGGCTCATCCTGACGGCAAGAGAGTCTTTGCTAAAGGGGTCATAGATTACGATTTCACCTTTTTAACTTTAGTTAGTGTGTGATGTGGCTGTTTGATAATAAGGCCTACAACAAGTTGGGACTTCAACAAGCAACTTCCTGGGTTAGTGACATCACAAACCCTAAAATTTACATAAACCCTGCACCCGGGAACACACAACAAAAGGGGGTGGGGCCATGTTGGGCTGCTTTAGTGAAGAGGAAGAGTTGTTGTAGTAGAGTATAGTATAAAGTATACAGTATATAATGTGGTTCTGTGTTTGATTTGGCCACTGTAGTAAAGCCATGGCTAGTCTTCGTAATGGGCTCATAGTTCTAATGACAGATATTTGAACACACTTGTTCTACTAAGATAAAACTAATGGTGCTATACAGTCAGAATTAGTGATCACTGTAGATCTGCTGTCTCTAATCAAATAATCCCTTCGAGGACAGTAGTAAACTTTAGTACTAAATCTGTAGTAAGGATAAAACTGAACTACAAAACTACAAAAAAAAC